TAACTCATCAAGATACACTCACATACCAAAAATCAGTCCAATATCTGAAAGCGTTTAGAAAAAAAGTGCGAAAAATCAAGTAGGACAGACTGACAGACAGACGGGGACAGACAGACAGACAGACAGACAGACAGCAAGACAGACATACAGACAGACAAACGGACAGACGCAGGAAACCTATAGTCCCGTCCGGTTTCACCGGTAGGGGACTAAAAACCAGCTTAATATCTGCAAGCGTTTAGGAGAAAACGCGGAAAACCCTGAAAAATTGAAAAGGCCGTAATTCCGTAAAAAATCAACGAATCGTAACGATATTCAAACTTGATCTGTAACTCATCATGATACACCGACGTACCAAAAATTAGCTCAATATCTGCCAGCGTTTAGAAAAAAAAGTGTGGAAAACCAAGTGGGACAGACTGACAGACAGACGGGGACAGACAGACAGACAGACAGACGGACAGACAGACAGACGGACGGACGGACAGACGCAGAGGAAACCTATAGTCCCCTCCGGTTTCACCGGTAGGGGACTAATAAAAGGAACTGTAATCGGATAAATACGGACATCGGAAAAAATATCAGGTGCATTTTTATAGGGTAGGTCAGGTTACCCGAAAGATAATTTTTTTCTCTAGGCCTTATGGAAAAACCCCTACATAAACAAATACATGGGCGCAGACATTTTGGACACCCGAAGTTGTGCGGAGGAGAAAATGCTAGCTGGCGCGTGATTGGTCAATAAGAGAAAAGACTGGTTATGTATTTGACAAGTGAAATAAAGTTGATAAAAATCTCATATCAAGACTTGGGTTTCTTTGAGGTATATAGGAGTTACAGGTAAAAATTTGAAGGGAGGGATGCACTTTGGTTAGAGATTTTCATTTGGTGTCAAACGCACCTAGTTGTAAACAAATGGAAATTGAAAGTAAAAGTGCAACGGCACGGTATATTTTTTTCTGGCATTTTTTGTTTTCCAATATCTCGAACTTTCACGACAAAAAGGTCATTTGCCCGAAATTCAATATATGTATCAGTGAGAGGGAGGAGTTTTGTACTCAAGTCTATGGAAAACATTTGGTGGTGTTTCGTCCTATAGAAAAGGTATGATTTCATGGTTAAAAATTGATTACAGCCAAAAAATCAATCGGTTCCTATTTTTTTGGCATTGAGATTATATTTTAGTTAGTTTTGACTATTTGTTTAAAAATTAGAGGGTTTGGGTAAATTGAGACTCACAATGGGGACTGCACATAGTGAAAAAATGCCAAAATTTGTGCCCTAGCTCTCATATTTTCGATAAATGTACACGTAAATAACTTTAAATAAATATTTATACCGAAATTTACTGTGAATATTGTAAATAATGCAATATCAATATTTATGGGCATCATCAATACACAAAACATATGAATATCCCCCTCGCAGTTTGAGAAATTTATTTAAATCCATGTATTTTATGAGTGTAGACATTGGAACAGATTGATTAATCATCTTTCAATTTTGTGATAATCAGAGTTGATTGAATAATTTATAACAAGATTTGACTGCTATTTACTAATTAGGGTACTTTGTTTTTACATAAGGGGCATAATCCAGCAGCAAAGCCAGTTTCAGTCATGTAATCAGTGCTGGCTTGAAATAAAAGTTATACTTTTGGTGAAACTTAGAGATTACTAGTAGGAAATTTAATTTAAATTACTGTACAGTATATATTTTTGCAGAAAATACATTGAAAATGCAATAAATATGCAAAATTATAACTGAAAAAATTATGAAAAAGGTATCTGAATATCCCTCCACCTTGCCATATCCAATCTTGATATTCTGCTGAAAGGGGGGGGGGGGTAATTTTGTGCTCTTATCATGCTGTAAAATGAGGGAAATTTGTTAAAATCTGGTTTATTTGAATAACGAGTCATGCTTATCTGCATTTATTTTTTTTTCAATTTCTTTCTTTATTTTTTAAAATAATTATCTGAGTAAATTCTACTTTAACATGATTATTTTAAAGGTATTACATCACAAATGCTTAAAAAAAATTCAAAAGATGGTGTTAAGAATAAAAAATTATGATATAAGCTACTAGATGCATTTATCAGTATGTTTTAATACAATAAAATGTATTTCAGCGATGCATTCTCAAGAAGGAAGAGATTAATGAACCCTACCCTCTTACAATGAACAACACATGGATACTCTCGGGATGATCCCTTTGCTTTCATTAAGAGTTCCAAGGTATTGTTTTCTTAGAAAATCTAGTTAATCTCTTAATATTTAAGTTATTTAGAACTTTTTATAGATTAAATAAATTTCCTCAGAACTGCAGTTTTTTAAGCACTTTGCTTACAATTGAGCACTTTATTCAGTCAGACAATATGATTTATCTGCCCTTGGCATTTAATCAATTTATTAATTATGTCAATAATAAGAAATGATATGCAAATAAATATATTTGCCTTTTATGAGAATGTACATATTTAACATCAAATACATGAAATGTTCATGAAAATTGGCTAAAATGTAGGTCACCCCCCTTCAAAATTACAAATTTTTCAGTGGGGATGTATTTGATTCTCTGATGCCAGCAACCCACTGCTGATAGAATTTTTTTTCAATCTTATGTACATTTGAACTAGATATAATTCTCTATTCTTTCCATTGATTATTTTATCTATATTGGTTTTCACTCTTAATATTCCATAACCCAGCTTTTCTTACAAAAACCTGCTGATTTTCTTCATTTTTCATTGATAACGGGTACCTGCTACCCTGAATGATTAACATGATCTTCCTTGAGAAATTATTAGAGATAATAAGAAAGACAAGCAAAACATATGCTAGATTAATCATTTTATTTCAAAAGTTTGAAAGAAAAATAGAAAAATGCTTCAATTTATAGACATCTTTTCTGTTTCACAGATGTGGGTCTGATTGACTGGGGTGTGAAATGTAACAGCCAATGGTGTACTTAAGGTAAGACTGTCAGTCCTAATATTCAAGAGGTCAGATAAGCAATGGATATGTGTTCTAAATTTACTAAATTGACCACTTTTAACAAATGTTTCTTTTACTCTATAGGAAAAACCCCTACATAACAAATACATGGGCGCAGACATTTTGGACACCCAAAGTTGTGCGGGGGAGAAAATGCTAGCTGGCGCGTGATTGGTCAATAAGAGAAAAGACTGGTTATGTATTTGACAAGTGAAATAAAGTTGATAAAAATCTCATATCAAGACTTGGGTTTCTTTGAGGTATATAGGAGTTACAGGTAAAAATTTGAAGGGAGGGATGCACTTTGGTTAGAGATTTTCATTTGGTGTCAAACGCACCTAGTTGTAAACAAATGGAAATTGAAAGTAAAAGTGCAACGGCACGGTATATTTTTTTCTGGCATTTTTTGTTTTCCAGTATCTCGAACTTTCACGAAACAGGTCATTTGACCGAAATTCAATATATGTATCAGTGAGAGTGGCTTAAGTTTGTATGGAAGTCTATGGGAAAACATTTGGTAGTGTTTGTCCTATATGATGAAATGGAGATAAACATATTATTCGATACACAGAGCAACAAAATTGGCGATGATGTACTGGTAATTTGATCTGCTGGTTATCGTACACAGTGTACGTGGTTTTGTATCCTTGCTTTGCTTTCTGTATATTTCACCGATTTCACTTGAAAAAAAAGATGTTTTCACTCATGTTTCTCTCCCAGATGGGTGTTTTTCGAAAGAAAGTTTTTCTTTTTTTTTTTTATTATGAAAAGAGAGATAACTCTTTTCTGTAATTTGTTCACAGCAGGGATGTTGCACTCCGTTTACCACATATACGGTCCCGACCTTTTTCCTTTTCTGTTCATGGAACTCCAGTGACCCCCCTTCTGAAGACAAAAAAGTTTTGCTTTCCATGAAAGGTACCTTAAAAACAAGGTTTACTATTTGCATCAAGTTGTCCTTAGTAATGACCATGCGGTCTTTTCCTGGCAAAAGTTTACGAAGGCAAACATGTCATGCAAAGAAATTTTTTTTACTGCTAATAAAGATGATCCATATTACGCCCTCACAGGTCAAGCAATACCATTAAAACAATTAGAACAAGAAAGATTATACTAAAGGTGTACGTATTTAATTTACTCCAAATGTTACAGCGACGTGGACCTTATTTGCGTTGCCTGCAATGCAGAGTGACATTGGTTGATCACTTTTCCTTGCGTTTGTCTGTCCGTCTGTCATACCTTATTCATGTATCTCAAACCTGTAACAGATATACATGTACAGATTTTATTTACACAAATATTGCTAGGAACATATTTAAGAATTACAATGGTTACGGTGTTGTGGTCATTAATTTAATCCTTGACTTACTTCTCAAAATAGTTATAAAGCTGATATACAACACAATTTTATAGACATTTAAGAGTATTTGTAATTTTGCATATGCACTGAATCAGTATGAAAAATGATGAATGATAAGATTTATGTGTTGACAAGGACCTTACACTGAACATCAAATTTGCAAAATGTTGACTTTAAAGAAGACGGTTGATATCATTGTTTAATCAACTTATTTATCAGTAGCTTACCTTGTTTTAGAAATTGTTTGAACGTAGAGCATGGTCTTGTGTATCGAATCAAGAGAGAGACATAAATTCCACACGAATGTGATAATGGTATATTTTGCAAGATAAATGAAAAAAGTTTACAAAGGAGAAGTTCACCAAGTTGTTAATAAGAAATTAAGATAAACAGAAAGTTGCCGAGAAAATTCAACTGGAAGGCAGAAGGACAATTAGATACACTGTAGAGGTTTGTATGTCAGAAAAAATGTAAATCAATTTATTTAAATTTAGTTAATTTTCACTAGGTCAAGTACTGATCGACAGAACACTGGGTGTTTAATCTCTTTCGATTTCAAGAGGCTGCCTGCTAATACAAGAATGTGGGTGCAGCTGAGGCCCAAACCTTCAGAAATATATCCTTGGACCCGGGGTGTATATTCAGGGTGGGGATGTAGTTACTAGTATTAGGTCCTAAGAAACTTTTAATGTACCTGATTTAATAAATGACTTGCCCCTCGGCACATGTATGGCATTTAAAACTACCCAGATTCAATATAGACACAGTTTAGCAAAACAAAAGATATTCTACTCATGCAAAACAATCGCTCCGTGATCGGGCGATCGTGGGTTTGAACCCATGCAGGCCGCGACTGACCGAAGTCTATAAAGAAATAAATAAGAGTGTTCCTTCGCCAAACTTTCTGCACATTAAGGTGAAAAGTCGCACATGGCGGATGTGACCGGTCGGTACATTGTACATGTTTATTCCATGGCACATGATCCCATCTCTGTTGTGTTTTCTAGAGCTCTGTTTTTGCTCTACTCCTAATTTGTATTGTTTAATGGACTTTTGAATTCGAGTGAAACATATGAAGATAACGAAGAGTATTTCGGATCAAAAGTCCATATAACAAAACAAAATAGGAGCAGAGCAGACACGGACATCCAAAACATCAGAGGTGGGATAAGTTGCCATGGAGGAGTAGCATCCCCTGCCGACCGGTCACACCCGCCCTGTGCTCCATTTCATGATTGGAAATAACGGAAAAATCTGTCGTCAAATTAGTGTATAAATAATGGACTATTAATTAGTATGAAAAACGTCAGTTAGCATTTCACTCAATGATAAATTATTTTTGCTGACAAGGTCATTGTATCGACCATAGAACTTACGAAATGATGACTTTAAACAAGCCTGCTGAAATTCTTGTTTTATTAACTTGTTTGTCAATAATAACCTCGTTGTAGAAATTGTTCATACGGAGAGTATGCTCTTGCATGTCGAATCAACTGAGAAATATAAAGTCCCCAAGCAGGTGATGAAGGTATATAGCTGCATAAGTTAGGGAAGTTGACGATAGAAAAGTTAAAGATTTCACGTTTATCATGGAGCTTGTTAGATTACCATTAATGTCTTTTTCAAGTAAAATAACCAAATATGAAACAGGTGTGTCAGACTATGTGATATCTTTTATCTCAAGCTCAACAGGATATATCTTATCGATATAACAACGGAAATTTCCATTGTTAATTGTCAGTACGTCGTCGATATAATTATCTAAAAATTCTGCTTCATATGAATACAAAAATATGTCTGCTAATAACGAGGCGCAATTGGTACTCATGGGAATCCCAACAGATTGTTGGAAGACCTCAGTCTCCAAAAACAACACAGATATTATCAGTAAGAAACTCAAGATCTTTTTGATGTCGACTTCAGAGTACTTGTATGTACAATCAGAATGCTTTTTAACAAAATAATTTTGCAAATGACCAATGACAAGGTACATAAATGCTTACTTTCACCAGAAACCCCGAAGGCCCTTGTCACGGCAGGCATTTGACCGATAAAGATCCTTTACTTACTGCTCAATTGTCCCGAGTGAAAAGGTCTAAATTTGAAGCACTTCAACGGAATAAAGGTATGATTGAAAAATTCTCGGAATAGTACATACTGCTGAAACCGATCAATCAATCCTAACAAAAGTTATACTTCAATAGTTAATGAAACAGTTTTGAAAAAGATTTAATTGACATGAATGGTACTCAGAAAACGTTTTGGAATTGAGAAAAGGTGAATGATTGAAAATTTAACACTTGTTTAAAAAGGAAACTTGTCCTACATGTAATTCGAAAATCCTATACGTTATATTGAACGGGGGAATGAATTTTTTTTTAACTTTTACAAGGAAAAGCTTATGATTTACATAAATGTGCAACAGCATCGTGGAACCCACGGGGTTTCGCTCCGTTACAATAATTTACCGGATGAGTTCTGAAAAGCTTTATTTGTACAACAAACACTTGTTTTAAGCGCTGTCTTAAGAAATACAAGTCACTAGTTTAAGCGCTATCACAGGAACTACAAGAAAACATTGACGTTACCATCAATTGTCGCCCGGGAAATATATAAATTAAACAATGGAAATGAGTCTTGACCATCAAACCGCTTCGATATGTGTGAAAAGGCATGCGTCTAATTGATGGAGACGATAGTCGCGAATATTTTGAAAACTTGTAGTGGGATAAAAGTACATAAAAAAAGATACCATTTTAAACTTGATCAATTCCTCAAGTAAATCTTGGCTGTATAAAATATAAATTGAAGTTAAACACACGCATCACCTATATTTAAAAATGTATTAATTTTCAATTTTAGAATATAAAATACGAACTGTGCAGAGTACGTTTTTATCCGAGAAGTAAAACTCGATGTTCTAAAAAAAAAAAGGGACCTGTCGTTTTTTAGATAGTAAATGATAAATAACTTTATATATTAAATATGAAAAGCATATACATTTTTACAGATTCACTTTATGGAAGTAAATATATTATATATCTCGTAATTTTTAAACGTAAAGAACATTTTGATTAACAATCTTTTCAATGTTGAGAAAACCTTCAATTCTAAATAACTACTCTCATCCCAATCCCCATACACCAACACTTAAACTTATATGTATAGAGCAGCCCGGTCCTCCGGGCTGCAATAAGGGTCATTTGTACAATAGAACCTTTTCCTATGACGTATTTTGCCTTGGAGTTATCCCCCTTAGCCGCCATCTTTTTGGGCATTTTGTTGTTAATTTTCCTTTTTTGGGGCAACCAATTTTAAACATGCATGCAAGAGATATATGGGGGAAAAATTTACAAACTTAAAATCATGAATAGAGGCTTTAACAAACGTATATTCATCAAAGAAAAATAAATGTTATCTTTATCTCAGTAACCAGTAAAACAAATTGAACTTGGTTTAATAATAAATGGATCTAGGAATAATGCCCTACAATATTACGGCCAAAGGGAATAGAACTCTTGCTTAAATCACCTCAATGAAAAACACTTTATATGCCGACCGTTATATAATACCAAGATTTGTTAATTTGAAAGTCGGATGGAAACCTCGCGTTTGAATAATCCTTATACTATGCTTCTCGCATTTTTGGGGGGAAATTTTATAAAACATTCTTTAAAAATCACGTTTATAAATCAGTCTATTTAGAAATTGTTTGATATACATGCATCAAAAGACCAGTATCCTCGCTGC